GCCCGTGCCACGTGTAGCCGCGCGGCACGGGGTTCGAACAAGCCAGCATTTAAAAATGGCGGCTCCCCGCTTATGCAAATGAAGCCCGGGAAATTCAAATCCCGGGCTTCATTTGCAAGTGCGGTATGCCTACATTACCCCGCTAGTTCAAACTAGGAGGGTAGTGTAGACATACCCAGGGTGAGTAGTAACTGGGGAGAGCAGTGAGGGGAGCAGAAAAGCTGGGTCAGATGGCAAGGGGAAGCAGTGAGGGACAAGCAAAAAGGCTGTGACCTGGGCCAGGAGCGGGATGGGAAGCAGTGAGGGGAGCAGAAAGGCTGTGTCCCGAGGGCTAGAAGAAGTCCTGGGGAGTGGAATTATCTAGGTAATCATCCCTCTCCTGTCATCCATCCCCAGCCTCTGACAAACAGGTTAGGGACACAATATCTACCCATCCTAACTAACAGCCATTGATGAACCTAACCTCCATTAATTTATTCTCCTTCTGCATCTGGCCTTGGAAACCCAATGGATTCCAAAGATTCAGCAGATCACCAGGCATAGAAGCTTGTCAGTGTGTGCTGTAAAAATTACTGGTATCTGGGGGCTGGAGGAGACACAGCTGGAAGAATCTGGCTTTCACCCACACAACTTCCCTCATCTGTCCCAGGGACAGGGACTCTCACCCACCTTGTCTCTAATATTCTGGAATCAACAGGGCTACAAAAAGACTGCAAACAACACCGATTCTCTGTCCTTTGTCTCCCATAGTACCTGTCTATAGCTCCAGGGAAATGAACAGAAATGTGGGTCCTTAGGCAGAGTCAGTAGCAGTATGCATGAGATTGAGCTGCCTGCTACCTGCAGCAGTGGTGACCAAACTCATAGAGGACCTGACTTTAGGTGGGATTCTCCACTTGCTATGGAATATTTAGAATAAAAATGTTAACAACTTCTATGTGTGCCAAGCCACCTGAACTCACATATTCTGGGGGCAAGCATGAGAAAGGCACATGTAGCATTTTCAGTATGGGGTGGCCAAGTGCATGCTAGAGGACAGGTGCGCACAGAAGGGTTTGGTTATAGGGTGGTCTCAAGCAGTGGTGCTGGAATAGAGGAGTCCAGGGGGGCAAGGCCCTCTCACTTTTTCAAAGTGGATGGACCTGTGGCTGGTCCAGCCCTGAACTGGCCTGCACAGATGGGTCTGCTGGAGCTCAGGTCAATCAATCATCTGGGGATGGCCGGGGGCAACTCTTGCTGTGGGAGTGGGGGACTGCTTGGGGTTCCACTAGCTTGGGGCTGCTCTGACAGTAGGGGGAAGCATTCCAACTGCATGAGGCAGGGCCTTATGCATATGTGGTGGGGGCAACAGGGCTAACCTTCTCAAAGGGCAGGGTTCACCCGATGCCTATGGCTATGTGAACAGGTGAGGAAAGCTGCAGACTCTACTGCCCTTGGTGGATGTCCTGGGGGGCTGGAGACTTCTCTTCACTTCCACATCTCAGGGCAGGTGAAAGGTCCATGGATTAAAATATAATTTAATGGAGATTGCCTATCTCCTAGAGGTGGAAGGCACCTTGGTCATTGAGTCCAGTCCCCTGCTTTCACAGCAAGACCAAATACCATCCCTGATTAATTTTTGCCCCAAATGGCCTCCACAAGGATTAAACTCACAACCGTGGGTTTAGCAGGCCAATGCTCAAACCACTGAGCTATCCCTCCCTCCCCTTTTTGGACAGGCTCCATCACCCTTGGTCTCAGGAATAGTTGTGTGCCGCAGTTTAGGGCCTATCTTCCCTCAGTCATTCAGCTCTTCAGCCGTTGCCTGTCTTTGGGTGAAAATGTATACCTCAGTCCCATCTGACTGGCATATTTCCCTTACAGCTAGATGGAAGTGGGAAGAGACCCTGGGTGTGTCTATGTAAATACAATTTGCTCCTGCTTTGCTTAGGTTTATTAAATATTCAGCTGATGGAGTGGTGTTTTTTTGCTCATTGTAATCAACTTAGTTGTTGTGGGATCAGAAATTAGGTTAATACTAAATGCAGGAATTGTGAAATACGATCACCAATGCTTGCAATTATAGTGGGAATTCAGAAAAGATAAACTGTGTTTAACTCAATTCAAAAGGAGAAAGACAGTGGGGGTATGTCTAGACTACATGGCTCCGTCGACGGAGCCATGTAGATTTATTTTTTTGGCAAAGGCAAATGAAGCCGCGATTTAAATGATCGCGGCTTCATTTAAATTTACATGGCTGCCGCGCTGAGCCGACAAACAGCTGATCAGCTGTTTGTCAAAGATAAACTGTGTTTAACTCAATTCAAAAGGAGAAAGACAGTGGGGGTATGTCTAGACTACATGGCTCCGTCGACGGAGCCATGTAGATTTATTTTTTTGGCAAAGGCAAATGAAGCCGCGATTTAAATGATCGCGGCTTCATTTAAATTTACATGGCTGCCGCGCTGAGCCGACAAACAGCTGATCAGCTGTTTGTCCGCTCGGCGCGCTAGTCTGGATGCTCCCCTGCC